CTTATGGTCAATCCGAGCGAACTATTCAAATTCTGGAGGATATGCTAAGAGCTTGTGTCATTGAATTCAAAGGATTGTGGGAAAGGCATTTACCACTTGCTGAATTTGCATACAACAATAGTTATCAGTCAAGCATCAAAATGGCTCCCTATGAAGCTCTATACGGAAGAAGATATCGTACGCCCTTGAACTGGTATGAACTTAAGGATCGAGAAGTTATTGGTCCTGAGTTGATTCAGAATACAGAAGAGAAAGTTCAAGTAATTCAAAATAATCTGAAAGCTGCAGCTGATAGACATAAATCGTATGCTGATTTAAAAAGGAAAGAAATTGAATTTCAAGTTGGAGATAAAGTGTTCTTGAAAGTGTCTCCGTGGAAGAAAATATTGAGGTTTGGACGTAAAGGAAAGTTGAGTCCTCGGTTCATTGGACCTTATGAGATTACTAAGAGGGTAGGATCAGTAGCATATCAGTTATTTTTGCCACCTAAAATGGAAAAGATACACAATGTTTTTCATGTCTCAATGCTTAGGAAATATAGATCTGATCCATCTCACATTGTGACTCCTGGAGAAATTGAAGTTCGACCAGATTTAACTTATGAGGAAAAACTGTTCAAATATTAGTACATGAAGTCAAGCAACTAAGGAACAAGACTATTCCATTGGTTAAGGTCTTATGGAGGAATCACAAAGTAGAGGAAGCAACATGGGAACGTGAAGAGTACATGAGGATTAAGTACCCCTACCTCTTTGCATAATGAAAATTCGAGGACGAATTTTCTTAAGGGGGAGAGTTGTAACATCCTCAATACCGGGTTAGTGACTAACTTGGAAAGTTTCAAATTTTGGTGATTAAAATAGAATGAATGAATAGTATAAAGATTTATATGTAAATTATTGTGTAGGATTGAATTTAAAGGAAGAAGGAATGGAATGGCAAAAGAGTCATTTGCAAGGAAAATTAATTAAAGAATGGATAAGGATATATATGAGTACAAGTGGGATGAAAAGAAGAGAACACCAAAGCCTTCCAGAGTTATCTTCTTCTTCTTTCTTCCTTGTACGTGTGAACCAAAGCAAAGGTAATAATTCTGATTATTGAGTTTCTTGTTAAATTTAATATTGGGTTTTGATTATTAGATGATAACTAAGCTTAAGGAAAGCTTAAGTTATCTTAACATCAAAGGATGATTGAGTTAGGAGAGATTTAAGATTTGAAGTTCTTAAATGAAATCTTGGAATAGAGTTCATAACTAGAATTGAAAGTTATATTTGACTTGTCATCAATCTAGTTAAGATATACGAAGTGTTAAAAACGGAATTCAAACATGTTGATTTATTAATGTAATTCTTGAATTACATATGAAGGATATGATTTGAAGGTTTAAGATGAAATAAATGAGTATAAATTGGTTTAAGGATGTGTACTAGAGTTAAGAATGAAAAAAGAGATTAAACATGAAGGATTTAATCCAAATGAATGAACTTTCGGGTTCAAAAAGAGGATTCTGGGAAGAGTGCACCGATGCACATTCATGGTGCATCGATGCATTAAGGTTAAAACCCAGAAATTGTTTGAATGTGCACCGATGCATTGGTAGTGCATCGATGCACTCTTTTAAAATAAATACATCGAATTCAATTCATGCATCGATGCATAAGTAGTGCATCGATGCATCCCAGTAATAATACTACATCGAATACCTTTTATGCACCGATGCATCAGTAGTGCATCGATGCATACCTTCATTAAAAGATGAAATTGACTTTTCTCTTAGTCTAAAGAGTGAATCATTAGAGTATATTAGTTATAATACTGATATAGATCCATGTGCGATTATGTAGATACTAAAAGTAAGCTTATTCTGGAACAATCAAAGGATTAGAATCGAATCAAAGCAAAGCTAAGGTGAGTGCATACTATATGTATATTATAATGGAATAAGACTTGTGATAAGTCTAATCCCTATGTTGATTTTTATAATACAGTAGTTGTGAATATGCATACATGATAATTATTGTGATACATGCATAAGACATATATATGTTCATGTGATATGATATGTGATATGAGAACATGATATGAAGTGACATGAGCTACATGATCACAAGAGAAATGACATGAGCTACATGATCACAAGAGAAATGACATGAGTACATGAACATATGAAATATAAGAATAATGCCCATAGTATACGATATGAGAATTATAGGTGTAATTGGCATGCCAAGAGTCGAGGGTATAATAGTCATTCGGGACGTAGTCCTTCGGGATGTAGGAGTCCTACGGGACGAATACTGAACTAAGGTTCGGTGCCCCATGAGGGAATATATACGAGCTGTGGTGACAGCATTAGTGCACAACCTCAATGCACTCACATACCTCTAATCTCAATAATATACATGGGCTATGCAATTGAAATACCGATTTACAGTGAAAGTGATACAAGAAGGTAAGTTTCGTATGTGCATTATATGTTATCGTGCGATAGATACATGCAAATTGAAATGTCATGATCCAATTGTAAGTATGAACATTCATAAGTTTATTGTTGCATATTCATTTATTGCCTCACTAAGTCTATGACTTAGCGTGTAAGTGATTTACACGTAGGTACCAAGAATCAGGAAAAGTGGAAATAGAAGTAGCACGGACAACAATACTACTAAGAGATCAGATCAGAAGTAATTGACAAAGTATGTACTTGGTTATGTATAGAGTGTTGGCATGTAATAAGTGTTGGCATGTAATAAGTGTTAATTACGAATACTCTGATCGATTTTGTATTTTATGGTCTTATGTAAATTAAAGTATTTCGTTTTAATGAAAGTTTTAAAAATTCCCTGGATTTTCTATAAGAGTCAAGGTTTTGAAAAGTCAATGTGACACCTCATACTTGTATTCGGGTCGGATATGAGTTAAGGGTGTTACATTAAATCCTTCATATTTCAACCCCTTTCATATTCCTAACTTTCATATACATACTTAAACTCATTAATATTCATTTATCTCATCTTTAACCTTAATATCCTCTCATCTTTAGGAATTTCAAGAATCATACCCTATTTTCCACATGTTTCAAATCCAATTCTAACACTTAATACTTCTTAATTAAGCTGATGACAAGTCAAATTTAGCTTCAAGTTCAACTTATCAACTTCATTCTGGAAATTCACTCAAGAACTCCAAATCTTTAATCTTCACTAACTCATTTATCTTTTGATTTTAAGATAACTTAAGCTTTCCTTAAGCTTAAGTATCACCTAAGAATCATAACCCAACTTTTAATTCAACAAATAACCAACTAATTAAGAAACTCACCTTTGAGCTGGAGCTTTCCTCATTTCCCACGTGTAAAATATATATATCCCCACTATCACATTTTTTTAATTCCTTAAATGATCAAATGACCATTTTACCCTTTATTTCCTTTAATAATTACTAACAACTTTTAAGAAATACTTCTAAATAAATCACTGAACTAATCCATTCTTCTACTGTATTCACCAAATTCTGAAACTTTACAATTTGGTCACTAACCCATAGTTTGGGATGTTACACATTTGAAGGGCCTAACATGTTTTCTATGTTTCCTTTCTTTTAAAACTACCGGATTATGATCCGATACACTTCTTGGAAGAGATATATGCACCAACTTAGGCTATAAGCATGCAATTTCAGGAGAAATTAGTATACTGTCCAGTCTACTAGCGACCACAGACGACCCGCCCCTAAACCAAGTGAAAACACTATCCAAATTTGGGACTTCAAACAACTTCCACCTAGAAATGAACTCTTCAAACAATCTCCTCGCAGTAGGTAGATCGGAGGCCTCCATTCTTTCAAAGACATACCTTACTACGTTAAAGTCTCCCCCACAATAACTGGACACTTGAAACTTGAGATTACATTACTTAGTTGCTCGAAAAAATCGCTCCTTTCGCTTTGATGATTTGGCCCATAGACGTTAATAATACCAATCTCTAAATTGTTCAAAATCAGTCTACCTTTAAGAGCAACTATTCGCCTATAAATAACGTTGTTATTCATCAAAAAAACATTACGGTTCCATAAGGTAATGAGACCTCCCGAGGCTCCTTCCGCAGGCGCAAAAATAGACCCCTATCAAAACATCCCTTTAAAACACGTTCAACAGAACCAGAAATTTCACCCACTTTTGATTCCTGGAATAACACTATACTAGGCTTATTGGACTATAGGACCCGACTAATTGCTCTTAACTTAACGTTTTTCCCCAACCCTCTAATATTCCAGCTTAAAACTAAGAATCCCAAATCTATAATATCTGAACACACAAAAATAACATAACAAAACAATACTCAAACCCAGATCAAAGTTTACCCAAGAGCTCATTCTGCTTCAATCTGTGGATGACCGCCTATTTCGAAGCTGAGAATACAACACTAGAGCCTCTCCAACACTAAAAGTAGCCTCCGCTTCATTTTGTAAACCCTCCGAACCAACAATGATCTCCCTCGCAGAATTAGCTTGATCCACTGTACCCCTTCTTGCAATTTGTAACAATTTTCGTCTTGTAGAACTCTTCTTCTTTCTTCTTGGAACGATACTTATAGAACGCGTATTAATTTCAACCCCATTCGTTCCTTTCTCAACGCTAAAAGTAATGTTTTCTTGAGAATTAGAATGGTCTTGGATATGCTTCGAGGATGAAGGAACCGATATCCGTCTACGATAATATGAATTAGGGCCCTCACTATCTCTCCTAAATGAGGACACCTCATCAATGAGGATGTCCAAGAGCCTAGAGCTGTTAGAAATAGATTGGGTCTTCCACACATGCCCAACATCTCTATTTAATTCCATATACCCGAAACTATCATCCACAAACAAATCCTTAGGCCCATCATTGACAAATATCGAGACCTTATGTAAGGCCTCATCCACAACAACCCTCCTTTCCACCTCAGCCTCCCCAAGTCCCCTACTAACTTCCATCAGTCCGTTGACATTATCGCTCATTTGGCAGAGCGAAGCAGCCAAATTAAATACGTCCTCATAACCAACCCTGTAGTATGGACATCTTCTATCAAATTCTCCTTACTAGTTACCACAACATCTAGGCAACACGCACCACCACCAGGCATCAAGCCATCTATGAACATTCGACTCTCTTCCTGAGCTTCTATTGTAATTTTAATGGAATATAGTCTTCCATTGCAAACAATGGAAACTTTTTCTGGGATATCCGAAGCGTAATGAACTTCCAATAAAATCCTAGCTACATCAAACCTTGACCGATTGCAAGTGTCATCTTCTACCAACAACATTTTACCCCACAAACTTCCCAACTTCATGAAGAAACTTTCACTCCATACTAATAATGGAACATCCGACAAAAGAATCCAGGTTTTAACTCTATGTTTGTTCTCATAACCCTCCAATAATTCCAACTCGTCAAACCATCGAGAAACCCAATGCTCCCTATTTAGCCAACACACCTGTCGAGCAGATTCATATTTGAATTGTATGACCACCAGTAATTCATGCCAGATACTTACCTTCACATTGAACCCATCTGCACTGAAAGAAGTCTGAACTATATCTTCATTATACATATTTTTTATTTTTCCCACCAAACAAGATTGTCTCCACGAGACCTCATTCTCCGCAATACGAATAATCTTGTTATCCTCTCCGTTTTTTGAAGCTTTCCTCACAGCTTGATCATCCTCAATCATAACATGAATCACATTATCCATACCAGATAATATTGAACACTGAGAAAAATTGACATGTTCCTTAGCCCTTCCTTCAACAGACTGACCCCCTCCGACTACTTCCTTAAAAGACCTGGAATCCCTTATCGAGGGCTTCCAAACTTTGTTGATATTTCTGTCATCGACTCACCTCTAAAACTTAGGATCTCCCTAATTATCGTGAAAAACTCTAATCTTAAAGCCATCGATAATCCTCCCCATCAGCTCTACGGACCGCTAAGTCTGCTTCCGATTGTCTTCTGAACCTAACAAAAGCAAAAGTTGAACTGGCTGCTAATGTTTTTTTTTCTAAATGCTATAAACACATCGATCACAACTCCATAGGAATGAAAAACCTCCTTAAGGATTTTAGGATGAATCCTTTTGCTTACATTGTTTACAAACACAGTATACCATTACAGACCTCGCTCATACCTCTCCATCGTTTGACTCTGATTTTAGTTGTCATTGTACTTTAGCTTTATAATTAATTGGAGCAGGGAAAACCCTAGTACATGATTCATCAAATACTTTTGATTTGAGTCTGGTACCGTTTGACCTATATTTCCCGAAGTGGCACCCTTTCGGCTGAGGTGGCGAAAGACGCATCCCCGGGGACGCGCTTTACCCGGGTTAATGCTGAGTTGGCTGCCACGTGTGGAAGGCGCATCCCCGGGGACGCGCCTTCACGGGATATTGCTGATTCGGTTGCCACGTGTGAAAGACGCATCCCCGGGGACGCGCCTTTCATTAAATGTCTTAAATGCCCATCCAATTTTCCCCCAACTACCCCTCCTCCTCCCCTATATAAACCCCCTCAACCCCCCTCATTCTTCACACCAAAATCATCTTCTCCTCTCTTATATTACTCAAATTCTCTAAATCTTTTAGTTTTAAATTTCTTATTAGTGGTAATAAATTTATTTTTAAGTTAGTATTTTTTAAATATTTATTATATTTTATATTAATATAATTATATAAATATTATTTTTTATTAAAATAATTTTTATAAAATAATTTTTTTAAATTTATTAATTAATTATTTTTTGTGCTAATTATTATTTTTTTTGTCTACAGTTATAATGGAAAGTGAAATGCTGCTGCGATTGGATGCTGACCATATCTACAGTATAATTAAATGTGTAATTATACTGATTTTATTAAATTATGCATCAATATTTTCGTTAAATATTGATAAGAGGTGACTAGATTGATAACATTTAAATAATTAACTGATAAAATTAATAGATCGATAATCACAATCAAAAATAATAATATAATCATATGTGTAATATTATAATTTCATACATTTTTCCTATAACTACAATAAAATCAAAACTGGTTTTCATCTATTGTTCTATCAGATTAATGTGGATAATTCACTCCACCTTTAACACACATTAAAAAAATACATTTGATAATTCTTACATTATAATCGAAACACTTTACATAATATATTACTAATTTATAATAATAATAAAAATAAAATATTTATTATTAAAAAAAATACCAGCGTGGTATCTGAATCAGCAATACCCAGTGAAGGCGCGTCCCCGGGGATGCGCATTCCACACGTGGCAGCCAACTTAGCATTAACTCGGGTAAAGCGCGTCCCCGGGGATGCGCCTTTCGCCACCTCAACTGAAAGGGTGCCACTTCGGGAAATATAGATCAAACGGTGTTAGAAAAGGAGATATTTGGTTAAACGGTGTCAGTTAGGTCAATTCGTCTTTTTTTTTTTTTTTTGAGTCTCCGATAAGATAAGCGGAAAAGTCTTTCCAGAGGATAGTTTCGGGACATCATCTTAGGAGATAATATATTGTATATATACGTATCAAGTCCTAAAATATAGTGGTTTGCTGTATGATTTTGATAATTTATTTGTATATATGAATATGGCATTGGGTTACAAAATGACAAGTAGGCTGCCGGAAACATGGAAATCTATATTGCTGTAAGCTGTGGACTAGAAGTCGAGAATACGGGGCGCGCTTATAAGCTCCTTCAAAGCTTCCTTATCAGGTTTGAGGATGAAAGTAGCAACAAAGTCGGTAAATTTGAAGGCCTTATAAATTGCAGGATTCCTTGCATCAACCAAAGCTTTCGCCGGTCCTATCAGGCTCTCATCGCACGGATAGACGAAGAAAGAAATAGTCGTCCTCGGATCTCTCGAATTCGTCACCACTCGATGCTCAGCTCCCATCAGTTTCCCATTGCTTATTATCTACCAAAAAAAAAAAGGGTATTCATCATTCAGTAAGCGGAACAAAAAAAAAATGAAAATTCACGTCGAATGATTCGATGGGGTACCTGTAAAAGGTAGCCTATATTAACCACGAACGCATGAGGAATCGGTTCGACGCAGATCCATCGGCCATCTTTGAACACTTGCAGGCCATGTACCTGGCCTTGAAGAAGAATGGTGATGATCGTAGGGTCACGGTGTTTAAATAATCCCAGTGTTAAACTCGGTTCAGGGCATGGAGGGTAGTGGTTAATCATGATTTTGGGGTCTTGACTCAGTTCGTTGCTCAAATAATCGGTGCTAAGCCCTAACCCTTGGCATATAAACTCCAGGATTCTGCAACTCAGCTTCCATAACTCAACCGAATACGCCCCAACAACTTTTCTGAAACAAATGAACACCAAAAAGGAAGATTGAAATTTGAAAGAGTCCAAATGTGGACAGTCAAGAGGAATATTTCATGCACATGAAAAGCTGGAAAGTTTTCAGATATGTCATTTATAAAGTTTGATTGTGAAGGACGTGATGGTTTACCTGTATCTAGTTGGCTTTTCAGGCCAAAATTGAATGTGTTCAGCTGAAGGACGGCAAGGGTGCGTCACCGCATCTCTCCACAAGTGGAACTCCTCCCTCGGGTAAACGTAGCTGCTCGTGTACAGCTTGCAGCTCCCCTTCGGGTCCTTGGCGCATTCCTTTTCCTTGTCCGACCCGGGCATTGCATGGAACTCCTCTGCAACTTCCATGGTTTCATCCATCAAATACTCCGAAACTCCATGGTTGATTACCTGAAAAAATCCGTAGTCCTCGCTGGCTTTCAGAATTTGTCGGACCGTCTCGTTTCGATCGCGACACTGAAGATCGATCACCGGGATGGATTCCCCCAACGGGACGATGAGATCCCCTGGTCTTGTCTCCGGTGGCATTACGTAACTATCCGGCAAGGATCCTTTGTAGCACCAGCTTGAAAGCAGTTCCATGGTTTCAGTTTGAGGTCTAGGTACAGGAGGGGAGAATTAAAATGCTTGCTAGAAAGTTGACCCTTAAATAAACAACAAACAAGGTCATTCGCCAGCATATGCACTTGCATCATCAATATTTCTAATTATAAAGCAATGATACGGAATTGCCAAGTTGACTATTTTTTTAACGAGAGATTAATAATAAAGTAGTTCACATTGTTTTCCCAAGATGGTGCCCCAAACGTAAATAATCATTTAAATTGGGCATTCGAGATTAGGGATGGGTATTTGATCAAGTCGAGTAAAAAATTTTCGAGTTATTCAAGTTGCTGAGTCGTATTTTACCATTCAAATTTAACTTGAAATTTTTTCGAATCGAGTTTAAAAAATTCGAGTCGAGTTATTCTAGTTTCTATACTAATTTTATTATAATTATTTATAGTATTATGACAATGATTTATTCCAAGTTTTTGGTTTTATCTAACCATATATATATATTATAATGTTATTTAATATATCAAATACAATATAAAATTATGAAATATATTCATAATAATATATTTTAAAGAAAGTATTTTGAGGGTAAAATATAAATGAGCGTATAAATGAGTCAAGGAATTGATGAGAATAAAGAATTTGCAAACAATTTTAGTCAAAAGTCCAAATTAAGTAAAATGTAAATTTGGTATATGAGCATGTGGTTAAAATTTGGTAAAAAAAGAGAGTACATCTTTGGTAAAAAAGAAATAAAAATTGAAGTTACACAGAAATTCTATTGTGGTATATGAGGAAGTGGGTCAAATTTGGTAAAAAATGACTTAAAATAAATCACAAATTGAAGGAATAAGGACATTATGAAAATTGAAGGACTAAATTGAAAAATAAAAAAATGTTATCAAAAAGAGGAATTGAAAATACACATGTATTCTACTATGGTTTAGGATCATGTGGCTCAAATTGGATAAAAACAGACTTAAAATAAATGACGAATTGAAGAAATAAGGATATTATGAAAAGTTAAAGGACTAAATTGAAAAATAAAAAATTGTTATCAAAAAGAGAAATTAAAAGTACACATGTATTGTATTATGGTTTAAGAGCATTTGGTTCAAATTTGGTAAAAAAAATGGACTTAAAATGAAGGAAGAATTGAAGAAATAATAAAATCAGGGACTAAATCGTAAAACTATCAAAATACTTAAATCAAATTTTTGATTTTTCGAGTAACTCAAAAATTCAAAATTTCAACTCGACTCAAACTCGAAAACCGAATTTATAATCGGAGTTGACTATAATAACTCAAATAACTCAAAATTAAAAAAAAAATCGAGACGAGTCAGAATTTTACTCACCCTAAAAGATATTACTCCATGCTGCCATCCATTTACTTTATTCATTCATTTCACTAGGAATGGTTTGTTTTTTAATATGAATTCACGCACAATGTACTGATAAAGTTATTTAAATTTGGAATTTTTTTTTGCCTCGTTTTGCCTTTTTTTTCTTCTTCTTCTTCTTATTTTTATTTAGCTCATGACAGTATTAGTCGTGGTATTAATTGTCGATAGTCAACGTTTATTATTTTTCTTTTACTTTTTTATATGGCAATTTTACTTATACTTTATTTTTTTTAGTTTCTAATAATATTATCTTTATATTATGTTTTCCTATACCTTTTCACGCGTTTTTATTATTATTTATTGATCGTTTGATTGTTCTCTTCCTTTAATTTTTTGATTTGACGTCATATCGATCGCTCATGATGACATTTATTTGTTATCCTACTGACATTCATTGCTTTAGACCACCAGTTTAAATTTAAATATAAGATTTACATTAAGAGATAGTTTTCTCGTGATGTTCAACTTTAATTTGTGATTGTCGATAGTCTCTTAATAGTTTGATCTCTTATTGCGGTTCAATTGACGATACAATCAGATCTGTTCGTATTTATATCTCGTGATGTAATAATTATATATTCAATTCACGTTTATAGATTTAAATCTTTATTATAATTCTAAACAATTCATTTTTAATAAAATTAGCGACTTCTGTTTACATAAAAAAAATTTCAAATCCGGATTATTATCTTAAGGAACATACCATCACTTTCTGTTACATAAAACGTATACTAAAAGGAAGCATTTGTGTTGGGAAGAATAGTCTAATTATATAATTTCCGATAATCACGTATTGGTAAACCACTACGTTGGATGATTGCAACAAGTAAACTACTAATAAAAATTATGTAACATATATGTTTATTTATTTCTTTTTTTTAATAAGAGTTGTTATCATAACGCCTTCAATGTAAATTTAATTAATTCAATTACCAACACTTATTAATCATGCTCGACCAAGAAATTAACTCATATGCAAAGAAAATACATGGAAATTGAATAAAATTTCGAGATATACACAGATCACAGAGCTAACCGTGAATCATCATCTTAGCATGTTCCTTCCAAGTCTTGAGCTGTGGCCTTTCTAGAACCAACCTCAGAATGAATCTATATACAACAAAGAATACAGTGTTTCTTCCATTGACATAAGACCCCATTTCCATTTCATTCATCATATCATCAAAATGGAGACTTAGATCCCCTCCGGCTTCAAGATCGTCCAAGAAAGTCGTCCGGGATAACCTCCGAGAATCCCTCTAATCAAGGAATTGATCGTGATCTTCTACACTTCTCTCGGACAAGTTATCTAAAGGGTGGTTTGAAGAATAGTGATTAAAATCGGGAGGCTCAAGAAAACTGGTTTGGGATTCTGCACCCTGCGAACCGCCTCTAAGCCACCAACAGCTCCGTGTAGGGTGCACCGTTTCATTTGTATCTTGATGCTGAAGTACACTCCCACGGAAGAAAGGAGCTGACGTCGAAGCTTCAGGATGTGGCCGTGACACTTCTTCAAAGAGGTGTGGCCGGTGCTCTTAGTCTCTTGCTTTGTTATGCGTTGTGTTGAATGGCACCCAATAATCCCCATGTTGTTGCTCAACTGATTCTAATGGCCTTGTTGCATCGTCTCTCCTATAACCGGACGCATGGTGAGCTCGAGAGGTATAATACCAATCTAGAAGATACGGCTGATTCTTTTGATCAGCATCAAGTAGCCAGAAAGAACCCATATTGTAGCCCGTGCCAGGAATGTTCTGCTGTGTTTGCATACCGTTTCTATCACCGTAAGCTCTAAGCGGGCTACCTCGCCACAATCTACCTGAAGAATATGCAAGTCTAGCTCCCTTCCCTTGCAACATTTTCTCCCTGAAAGTTCTAATATTTGACAGAAACCTCTTACCCTGAGCATCTGGTTCCCATGAAGGGTAGCTACTCTGGAAACTGTAATCGTGATTTGCAATAAAATACATCGAGATGAAATTATACATTAGGGGAGATTCTAAAGTGGATAACAACCATGAATAATCACAAAACTGAACTTTAAAGCAACAGAAATAGAAATTATGAGGATAGGAAGGCACTGGAAGCAATCAGCCAAGAAACAATCGTACGCATTCATATTCAAAGCTTGCTGTCGTTTATCACAGGGAATACTAATAATAGATTTAAGGTGATTTTGGATTTCCCAAACCATATTCACCAAGAAAATCATGTGCAAGTTTAGGACAGAGCAAGTACAGAAATTCAATTTTCTTAGTCATACTTCAAGAATGATTTCTCCATTTTCCCCTGGGAGCTCCTCCGTTCACGAGGCACATTGTGTGGAGCGCCATAATTACAATCGCCATGGTTTTGGAAATCAAAGACACTAAAACTGCAGACAAGGGAATAATTAGACTCATTATCTCGATCGGCACATGAATTAGCTAGTAACAAACTGGTGGCAAAAAAATCTCTCCAACACCTTCAACATCGACTGTAAAATCAGCAATGAACTTCAAAATGTCATCCAATCGCTGCAAAATAAAGGCAGAGCATTTACCTCTAAAACTAAGATGTCAGGAATAAGACAACAATAGAAATAACGTCCAAAAAGAAAAACCTTGGGCACAACAAATAGAAGCAAGAATGGAGTGAGGAAAATTGAGGTCATCTCCTCCAGCAACATCATTCCAGTATACTGCATCACAACATAAAAAAGAAAAGAAAAGTACACTGAGTAAAAAATAATTCAAAAATTCTGAAGTAATTGGTGCAGCTATATAGCGAACCAAGGAATTATGATTGCCAGCAATCGGTGAAGCAAATTAGTCAGAAGAAATTATATTTTGTTACTTGAAAACCCTTAAGACTTCTTGGAGTTGCAAACTCCTATATTACTGGTAAAACAAAGACAGGAACCATGCTGGATTACCTGAAATAGAGTTTCAAACTCTTTTCGGACTGTTTCAGTATTTTCTTTATCACGCCATCTCTTTGGCATATAATGTGTATGTTGCACCACCATAGACATTGCTCCTTCTGGATCAAGAACCAAAAGTTCATCTGTAACAGCAGCCCGGCTAATAGCTGTGATGGTTCCAAAAACAGCCAGTCCATCCCAAAACTCAAATGTTTATCGCAAAATTCTGTCAATAAGAAGAAAATCAAACAAATTCATACTCACATGCACTAAAAAGGGAGATACGACAAAAACAGAATGCTAATCCATTATTATCTACATCAGAACAACAAGACTAAACAACATTAGGAGGTGAACAAAACTGAATAGAAACAACAAATAAAACAAGACATGGAAGAAACAAATCATCAAAAAAAGATTTGTCCCAATCCTTATGGTAATTAACAAAGTTCAAATACCTGCAAATCATAAGTTGGAAGAAAACCAGAATCCTCACTTAGAAGAACCAGCTGGCAACAAGCTACAAATTACAGCAGTTTGATCCAAGAAACTTAATTGCGATCCTGAACACACATAGCAGCGACTTTTAAATGAATTGGTGCTCATTCTTAACAAATATCATTTCTATACAGTATACATGCTAAGAAAGAAGGTAATTCTTTGCGAATTTAAGTCAATTATGATAAAAAAAAAACTTAAAAGACAACCCAAATTATATCCATATAAAGTTAACGCCAAGATCATCCGTTCACGAAAATAAGTAACAAAAAGTAGTGGAATTTTCCTCCGACCTACCAACGAGAAGCTCCAATAACACCCACTAAGGATTATTCCACACAAAAAAAAAAAAAACAAACAAACAGAAGCTTGACCGTTACCCGGAGAACTCCAAGAAATAAAATGAAACAAAAGTTTTGGTTTCTGAGAGAATCGTTTTAAAAAATACAAGTTAAGCCATTTAAGAAGTTAAAGAAAAGGGCGTCTTTGGGCTTCTCTTCTTCTCTTTGAAAATAAAAAATGAATGAAGGAGTGAAGATGAGTAATACCTGTTGTTATTTGTTTGAGCAGCCTAAGGAAGGAAGGTTCATGTTTCGGTGATAGCCAAAACTTTTGTACACTGCGAAGAATCTTGGCCTGCAACATGTTTTTAGTTTTATTTCCATTTTTGTCTTGGGACTTAAAGACCAATGGGCCTTTCCGACAAATTTGGAGGTCTCTTTTAATTTGTTGGGTCATATTGGGCCGGTTTTTATAAACAAAAACCGGATTCGAATGGGATACCATATCCCTATTTATTATCATAACCGTTTGCGCTACTCTCCAAACAAACCCTCAAAGAATCCGCGGGACGAAACGGACCAATTTGGCGGGAACACACGTGTCAAGCGTATATAGCTGTTCCTTCCCGCCAGAAACCCGCCCTCTTATATACTATCCCCCTTTCGTCTTCCGCCGTATCTTAATCCATCCCCTTTCTTTTTTCCGCCTCTGTGAATTTTCAGCGATGAACTCCTCGGATTCTCTCGAATCAACCCCTTTGAAATCCAAAGCTTCTCGGAACCTATACATGAAATCGCCGGTTTCCAAAACCCCAGAAAAGCACTCCTCCCATCTCCCCAACCGTGCTCGGAACCGAGGTGTCGCCCTCTCCATCAAGGAGATCCGGCAAGTGGCTCAGACCCGATCCAATGCTCCGACCGACCGGATCAAGTCGGCCCGAAAACAGATCTTGTCCTGTCCCGCCAAATCTCCTCCACCCAAAGCTTTCGGTGGCCGTCCTGATAAACTCCCTGAAAAGTAAGCCCGCTTGTCACACTGACCCTAATTTATTCCATCTCTTTATATATTTTTTTTATTTAAGTTTTTTTCCTGGAACAGGTATGAGATATTGTGCGAGTTTTACAATAGCTTAGATTCTGCAATCCGGCTGCTAAGATCGAAGGGGTCAATGCCGACTTTTACTAATATCAGCCCCAAAATAGTGTGTTTAACTGATAGGTAATTTCACCTTAATCATGTGAATTAGTGATGGCTAATAGTTTTTTAAGTTCTGTGTGGTTTGTTTTATTTGGGTATTTATCTTTTGTGGTTTGATGTTGTTTTATAGGAGGTTTTCATATGGTCATTTGGCCCAATTGAAGCATATTTTACCGGAGGCGATTGAGATAAAGAGAATGCTTGTGTTTGATGAGATGACTAGTTGCATGAAACCTGATCTCCACATTAGCATCAATCTGGATGCGATTGACTTTGGGGACAACTCAAAATCTGAGACTAAGAATCTGAAGTTAAGGAAGGTTTTTCGAGCTCGGCTTGTGGACTATGGCGAGGCTCACCCTGAGGTAGTCTTTTCAGATTGTATCAATCTTTTTTTCTTCTTCATAGAATTAGTTTGCTGTTATGCACCGTCCATATCAATTGGCTATGCTGAAAGATTTGGTGCATTAGATTTTTTTAGTTCTGAAATTCAGGTTTTTACTCTCAATTCAAGGCGGAGGAGAAGCTCTTAACTAATAAAAAGTCTAATGGTTGACTCTTAGCTGTTTAACACTTGTTTGTAATAGCCCTTAAATTGAAACAAAAATATTTGTTCTAACTACTTTTTTCATGTACCATGTTGTGTTGACTTCAATTATTGTGCTTCTAGGGTGATGAAATTCCAGAAGAAGATCTCCCAGAGCCATTCAATCGGTCAAAGCAGAATTTGCAGCTGAACATGATCAAAGGACCTTTGTCATCTGATGCGTCGGGAGTGCAAGGTGAAGTTATTCAAGAGGAAGTAAAATCACAGCCATCCAATTCAAAGCTAGCTCTCGAGACTTTACCTGGTGTAGTTAATGACCAGCCACCTGAGGTAGCATCACATGTATCTAGATCGTTTAGAAAGCGCTTTTCCCTGAAAACCTCAACCAAAGGTCAGGAAGCTGTGCAAAAATGTTCAAATTTTCATGTTCCAGAGATGTGTGCCAACAGGTCTGCCTCCAGTGGCGGCACTGCATTTGCTCCAACACCATCACCAACTAAGATTTTATCTAAACCAACTATCAGTGAAACACATCACAAAGATAGCCTACCTGCAACTCCGGTCAAAGAGTCCCCTATGAAAACTGCAGATGAGTCCCCTATGAAAACTGGCAGCATTCAGTCTACTCCTGTGAAACTTGTTTCAACTCCTGCCAGGCTGATGACTTCCACGCCGACTCTACAATCTCAGAAGAGGTGTTACATGAGCCCAGATGAGGCTTCTGCTACTTCATCAAACAAGTTGGTACGCAGACCACCACTTACCAGGTCCTTGAAATTTGACACTCCTATGAAGGAAGAGAAGGTTGTTGATGAAGTCCATGCGATGGCAGGCAAACCAGTTAATAAAGATGAAGATGATGTTCTTTCTATTTTGCCTGAAAGCCTTCGGCATTCAGTAAGCTCTCTTCCTTTTTGCCACCATCTTTTTAAGATCATGAATTCTGCTTAGTTTAGTAATTACTTAGTCACTTACCCTTGACTTACCCAGATAAATATCACTCGTTTAGTTTCTATTAGCATTGGTAAATTCATCTGAAAATAGTGCATGGAATTGTAAGGGTCTTGCCTTGATTGCATGAGTAAAATGCAAAGGTAACTGAATATTATCCTTGCAGATAAAGGAGAAAGAGAGGAAAGCAATGGAGGAGCGAGATCCAGCAATCTCGCAAGCAAAGAGACGACAACGAATGATTGCCTGCCTGCCTAAGCTCTTCAACATGATTCATTATCTATTCCAGTCCATAAAGCGCTCAGTTATTACCAAAGAGGAGCTTATGCACAAACTAATTGCTGGCCATTGTGATATTGCTGATAGAGGTAAGCCTTTTGCTAAACAGTTCGTAGCTCATGGCTGGATATTGAAAACATTAGCTGAACTATTTCTTCGCTCTGCTTTCACAGGAGAAGTTGAAGAACAGTTAAAACTGTTGCAAGAGCTGGCCCCAGAATGGATATATGAAAAGATGGCCTCAGCTGGGGATTTACTCGTTTGGTGAGTCTCAACTTAATTTTGACTCTCATTGGCATTCGCCACATATAATGTTTTATTAGAAACATGGAAATTGTTTAAGAAAATGCTTCTAATTGGTATTTGCTATCCGATTATTTGCCAGCATCAATAAAGTGTCAAGCGCAGAGTCAATACGAACACGTCTCCAAGAGGCACAATAGGTCGAAAATGAGTGATAATCAGAGCCCCGTTCCATTAAATTATTCATATTGACACCTGGAGTTTGATATTTTGAAATTTATGTCAAGGTTCTGCTTTTGTAAGCAAATTAGATGCGTGTATAACCATATTTATGTATTTAAGCTACTATTGACTCTGATCACCATGTTAATGTAAATGCTTCCCTTGACTGCTTTTGTATCTGTTGCAATTTACCCAAAATAGCAATCAAACAACGAGCACCATTATGTTATTTTCCAGCCTGCTAATTATTTGAGATGATTCAAGTTCTTTGGAATAAATACAGCTTGGTTTTAGGGTACTTCCTTTTCTCGAGAATCCGAACCCTCCTCCGGTACCTTCACCACAACATCACAATGTGAAGAAGATTGCTGTTGGTCTTGAGTCTTGATGTTAGTCTGATCTTTTTCCTTCCCCCACAGAAGCAAGTATAAACCGATAATGGCAATTGCTCCACCAAGGATGCTGAATGGTAAAAAACAAGAATTAGTGCTTTCTATAGATATGATATAGCGATTTGGTGAGTACGAAATGAACCATCTTTTTACCTGCCGACTTGTAGTTTTTCACCCAGAATAAAGTACGCAGAGAAAGCAACCATAACTGCTGAAAGGGGAGTAAATACTGTGACAAAGACTGGACCTTTCCTTTTCATGCACCAGAGCTGGAGGAAGATACAAATATCAGAGCATACAATTCCCTGGCATATTCAATTCCATAACTAACCTCAGGACAAAGTTTCCAACACGTTTAAAATATGGTTAGCAGCCATGAATTTTTTACTACAGGCAGAATATGTAACGGCCCAGAATTGGATACTGAACATCTTGATCGTCCATGCTGTCGGTCTGTGCTCTACAAACACTGCGTAGACAGCAGATTGCACCGCCCCGATACAGTTGATCCAGCACGTTAGTGACAGTTGAGCAGGATATTTCTTCAAAGCAACAGCCTACAAAGTTACTATATTTCTTCAAACACTGTATTTCATCGAATGATTTTGATGTAAAAAATTGCCACAATATATCTGGAAGTTGTCAATGCTAAATGAGATTCTAAATTTCTAAGTTGTATTGTATTAATAATTTATCATTGATTATTAAAATGAAGTTATTGTAGACCTGTCATTTTCATTAGCATTGAAAAATTCTGTTCAGTCAAAAAGAACATCCTACTTTTTTTTCTGGGCAAATAAGAACCGCGAGAAACTGAAAAACAGTTCAAAAAGTGAAGATCACCTGAAGAATGTACCACAGAGCCCATGAGATACAGCTAGCAACAGTCAAGATCGAACCTTTAACCCAATTCTCATGAACAGAAGAAACCCTTTTCAGGTGAACCGGAGCAGCCCTCAAGCTCCGAAATTCAGCTCCTTTGTACAAAGTGATGATGCTGACCCCCGCCAATGATGTTAAAGTTCCGGCAACTTCACCCAATCCACGGGGGCTCCGTACATCCACAACCTCCATCCTGTTCATGCAGCAAAATAACATATTTTCATGTAATAAAAAAACCCAGAAGAATTAATGGTTTTATTGAAATCAACAGTCTAATCAACCAACCTCAGAATGATGGCTATGACGAAGGTCAAAGAAGAAATAGTGTTGACCGCAGATGCAACGAATGTTGGTGAAGTGTACCTCAAGCTTGCAAAGTACATGTTCATCGTTAATCCGACTCTGTCTTTCCATTAAAAGGAATAAGAACCAAATCTTTGTGTAGTGCTGTTGCTAAATTTATGGTAAAAATTCAAACTTTTGAAATAATTACTGCCCTACTACTCTTTTATCTTACCCTATGAGAGAGAGCAAAAATATCTCCAAAAACAGCGCAAGTGTCATCTTTGGCCTTGATTTTCTGCAGAAAGAAGGCATCAGTTAGGCAATCCACAACCATCCTAACAATACCAATAACAACTGGAAAAGAATATTTAGGATTGACCTTTCGAGGAAGTATGCGAACGGTGACATCGCCAAGCCGGCGAAGATGTACCGATAAGTTATATAAACATGGGGATTTAGCCCTTCATTGAATGAAGCTTCCACGAGGAAATAAAGAATTGTATAACTTATCTGTGCTAGAACCATACTCAGGTGTGGCATGTATCTTGCAAATATCACCTTCAATGCCATTTTCGTTCTTTCGAGGTTCCCGGGTTGAAATGCTCAATACTTTGCTGGATTAGACCCGGGTTTTGACATGGTGAGGCATCATGCTCTTATGATCTATGAAGTTTCTGATGCAGAAAACTAACAGAACACTGCACAAAAGTGGAATGGAGAATACTGAAAGAGCATATATGTCCCTTGACTAAACATATTCATGAATTTTTTACTACTTTTTAGCCTAGCCGAATACAGTCAAAAGCTTGGAATCTTGTTGTATGGAGAATAAATTACACAACTTGTTTAATGAGCGTACCATAATTTATTTCCCATCCGTACTGAATGAAGGGATTGTGACCCTAAACTCCATTGAAATTGACCGGACAAGAGACACACAGCATCAGCATCATCTGTTCATAGCTATATGAGATATCTCATCTTGCAAAGATAAGTTTTTTATTGTTTAAGAATCATTTTTGCGTAGGCAAGTGAAGGAATATATGGATGATTTTCAGCAAGTTGGAGAAGTAGATTAATAAGTTAAATACCGTTCATTTATAGCAGAAATTGATTGGTTTACAGATATTGTTGACAGACTCAACCCCACAGAACACTGATTCCTAATACTATTTGCGATCATCATTGAAAAATCAATCTTTATTTTCCTAAACGCCAATTCTGATATATTCTCTGATGTTCCTTCATGGTTCCACTTTTAGTGCTGATGCTATCTCCTCCTTGTTGGCTACCGTAAACTCGATGGAATGAGTCGACGGCAGCTCTTGGCTCTTGGTGTAAGATTCAGCTTTTTCTTTGCCCCAACAGCAAGTATAAGCCAATGATACAGTGACTCCACCTAGTATGCTGAAACACAAAACCGATGAGCATATGATCCATAGCTGTGATTTGCTTCGACATTTCGAATTTTTAGCTTCTTACCTGCCCGTGTATAGTTTTTCACCGAAGACGAAGTATACTAGAACTGCGACTACGACCGTTTGAAGAGGATTAAACATGAACACAAAGACTGGCACTTTCTCCTTCATGCACCACAACTGAATGAAGATGAGGAGACCGGATAATTCCTTACATCAACAACCTCCATCCTGCATCAAGATCACGAATAGAACAATTTTGTTCATGAAACCTCCTTAAACTGCTTAAGGAATACTTATAGACTCCTAGTCTCGAACCTGAACAAGATGGCGATCAAAAACATCAAAGACGACACGGTGTTGTACACCGCCAAGACGAATGTCGGAGAAGTGCATCACATACTTATGAAGAACATTATGAAGGTTAAACATCTCCTGTTTCATGGTCAGGGAGAAATATGAACAAAAACCTTCAGAAATTCATTAGCGTTAACACAACTCAAAGTGTAGCTATTTATTGCCTACCCGAAGAGAGAAACCACAAAAATCTCCGAAACATTACTAATGGCATCTTTGGCCTGGATTTTTTGCAGACAAAAAAAAGTTTGAACAAATTAGCAAGTGAATCTGCCCAAAAGTGACCGGAAAGATCAACAAGCCGGCGAGGATAAATCGATAACTGACATAGACAGAAGTGTTTAGACCTTCATTGAAGGCAGCTTCTGTAATGAAATACACAATTGCAGACAGAATTTGGACAAGAACCATGCTTAGATGGTGCCTGTATCTTGCAAAGCTGGCCATCAATGTGTATGCCATATCTTTTGCTTGTGTAACTATATCCTTTCTCCTATTTCTCTTGGCTTATATACAGAGCAGGTAAGGCATCTTGGTACTATTTCTGAAAATGATATAAAATTCTATTTCACCATATATGGATACGTTTGGGATACATAATATACATATTTGATAAATATGGAAAGTTTGGATTGGTTTAACTCTTGCGGTGAATTGATTGGACATCTAAATAAGACATATAGGGATTAGAGATAAAAAATTCTCAAACGTCTCTTAAAAATAAAAGGGGATATTTAATAATAATAATTAAAAAAAAAAAAGAAATTAAAAGAAAGTTGAACATTTAAAACATTTAATTGGATGAATGAAAAGTTTAACATCTAAGTGTATTTCATCTTAACAATCTAGACGAGGCTTTAAACTAAGAAACATAGATATCTAACCCTCTAATGATGTTTAAGAAACATATATGTCTAACCCTTCAAACTATTTGAATTGTTTTAAATGTTTAAGTTATGAAATGAGTTTGTATTTGAAAAGAAAGAAAAAAATTAAATAACCCAATATGATATTTTATATCTATTAGTGTTACATTTAGTGGTATCAAAACTTATGTTCAGTCAGTCCTAAGATCAGTTGGTCAACTGTAGTAAGATGGCAATAAATATTTACTCTTAGGTTGTGAAATGTACTCCTTTAAGTTTGTAATTTTGATGATGTTTTCTCTCCTTAATTGTGTTTATGAAAAAATTGTGTTGGTCAATGATTCCGAGCATAGTCTCAATTGAATGGTTGAGAGTCGTGCCTCTCACTCTGATGACATGAGTGATGAGTTAGTATTGAACACTGAGAATTGTGAGGTTCGAGTTGATACAATAGTTGAGGAGATGACCTTTTTACATGGATCTGACCACTATACCTCCAAGAGATTGTAAGTGGTAAAGGAGATGACCTTTTTACATTGATCTGACCACTACACCCCCAAGAGATTATAGATGTTACCACTACGACACTTATAGCTCCTCTTGTTGCCCCACTTGTGGCCTTACCACATAAGTCATCGTTTGAGAGGCGGTTTGCTTAATTCATTCTAGATGTGATAATAAGACTTGATCTGAAGTGAGAGAAAATGTCCTTACTCGATTGTTTTGAATCAATAATTGTGTTGTAACCTTCTGTGCGTGGTTGATATGGTAAATATGATGTGACGTTACAAGTTTAAACGTACGTTGTATTGCTTATGCATGCTTAATTTGATGTTATATGAAATTGGACAACCTCATCTTTGAGGCTTTAGTGGGAATTATTATCGAGGTTATGTGAAATCGAGTTTTCATATGTTAGGCTGTTATAAGTAGTGACACGTGTGTGTATGCTAGTGGCTAAGGTGTTACAGTTGGTTAGGTTGTTAAGCAGCTAAGCCAGAGTGTTAGAATATGTTAAACTGCAGTATGGACTACGGTGCAACATCTCTTTGCAATTAGGTCTACAACGGCGGCGATGAGCCTGCATTGTAAACTGAAGTCACTCAAGAAAGTTAACGACAACATGCGTACTTACCTTACCAAAGTTAAAGAGATCTGCGATGCATTTGCCTCGTGTGGTAGTGCAGTCCCTCATGTTGGTCATGTCGCCAACATCCTGAAAGGTTTGCCTAGGGAGTACCAACCATTTATGGTTGTCATTACCACAATGAAGGAGACTCTCTCGTTGGACAATCTGTACACATTCCTTTTGGATGTTGAAGCGCAGTTAGCTGGCTTTGATGAGCAGTTAGACTTGCTTCCTATGAGTGCCAATTTAGCTTAGCATCAGGAAGATATAATGTTGTTAAAGGTGATCGACGTGAGTCCAAGGTTACTCGGTCATCTTTGATGCACAGGCCGGGGAGTCGAGGTCGGGGAAGAGCCAAGATTCAATGCCAATTATGTGGGAAACTCGGTTACCTAGTGGACTGGTGTTGGCATCGTTTCGATGAGGAGTACATGTGCGTAACCTCTGACTCAAGATCTCATAAAGGACAGCCCAATAATGCACATTATTCGGTGTCAGAAACCCCTAATATGAGTTATGAATGTTGTAAAGGGTGTTGCCAAGGGACTGGTCAAGCACAGGCTAATGTGACCACCAAAGCTGCTGACTACTGGGTTGTCACTCGGGTGCAACACACCATATTACACCTAATGCAGTAAATGTCTCAAATTCGATTGAATTTAGAGGTCCAAGTAAGCTTACTATGGGTAATGAATTCTCTCTTGATATGCATAGCATTGGTAATATTGTTGTTGCTTCTTCTTCTTCAAGAACCTTGCTGTTAAATAAATTATTACACGTGCCTTGGATAACCAAGAATCTTCTTTCGGTCTCAAAGTTTGCTAGGGACAATGTTGTCTTCCTTGAATTCCATGATGAAAACTACTACGTTCTTGATGAGGCTACTAAAGAAATTCTTCTGCAAGGTGAAGAGAAGGAAGGGCTATATCTTTTCGATTAGCTGTAAGCGTGTAGAGAGCCACAATACTACTACTCATCTTGTGTATGCCAGCATAACACAATCTGAGCTGTGGCATCATCGATTAGGGCATCCAGCTAGCTATGCCATGAATAAAATAACTAAAGAAATCAAAGTAAACCTTGATTTGAATGTTAATAAAACATGTGTGGCTTGCTTTATGGGAAAAAGCCATAAACTTCCATTTTCTTCCTCGAAGAGTCAGTATACTACTCTATTTGAACTTGTGTACTCTGATTTGTGGGGGTCTTCCCATGTTGCATCTAGTGGCTTCCATTATTATATCTCGTTTGTTGATGCATGCACACGTTTCACATGGATTTATCTGCTCAAAAGTAAAGAGCAAGCGTATACAGTTTTTCAGTTGTTTCATAAACTTGTAGAAAACCAATTTAGGCTAACAATCAAGGCAATCCAGTCAGAATGAGGTGGCGAGTTTCGCCCGCTCTCGATGACTTTAGCAAAATCAGGGATCACCCATCGGTTATCCTGCCCACACACATCTAAGCATAATGGCGTTGTGGAACGTAAACATCGGCATATAGTAGAACTCGGGCTCGTTATTCTTGCTCAAGCATCCCCGTCTCTTCAATATTAGTCATATGCAGTAGTAACTGCAGTTTACCTTATTAATCGACTGCCTACAACAGTTCTTGGTGGAATGACACCATTTGAAAGGTTGTTTAAGAAGAAACCAGATTATGATTCGTTAAAAGTATTTGGGTGTCAATGTTTCCCATATCTGAGACCATTTCAGAGCGACAAATTAGATTTTCGATCTTATCCGTACACTTACCTTGGCTTCAGCCCCCAGCACAAAGGATATCAGTGATTTGCGAGTGATGGTAGGGTGTATATATCACGTCATATCGTGTTTAACGAGATGGTTTTTCCCTTTGTAGTTAAAGCAACGCCTTGTCCAAAAGCAGTGCCTTGTTCGAAAAGACATTGTTCAGGAGTGCAGTCTCGAGACATTCCTATTGTTGCTGATGTGAGAAGCTGGCCATGCAGTACTACTCCAGACGAGGCAGTTGGATATGGTCATGAAACTACAGATCAATCTCAACCGGATGTTCCTGCTCAGCATGAAGACACATCGCATGCGGCTAAAGAAGTCACGTCAGTAGCAACCACAGATACCACTGTGAACGATGATGTAAATTTAACTATGCCTTCTGGCACGGCTGGTGCAGGTGATCGTGATGAAACAGGTGGAGGATTAGACACAGCAGCGTGCAGAATAACCCATCACTACAAAATCATCATCACATGCTAACACGCAGTAAGTGTGGAGTGTTTAAACCTAAATCCTACACCAGTTATTTTGAGAATGAAGTTCCCTCTACGGTTCAGGAAGTATTACAGTCTGCTAGTTGGCGAGAAGCAGTGCAAGTTGAGTACGATGCCCTCTAGAAGAACAACACGTGGGAGCTAGTTAAGTTACCAGTAGATCGTGCTCCAATTGGCTGCAAATGGTTATTTAAAATCAAACGCAACTTTGACAGTTCTATACAATGACATAAGGTACGGTTGGTTGCAAAAGATTTCTCACAGGTGCCTGGACATGATTTTACTGACACCTTCAACCATATGGTAAGGTTTTCTTCCTTTAATGTTGTGTTAGCTTTAATTGTGGCTAACGGTTGGGAATTGAGACATGTAGACATCAATAATGCATTCCTTAATGGGGATCTGGATGAAGATGTCTTCATGCAGCTACCACCAGGATTCGAGCAAAATTATGTGGATGAAACTCCTCTTGTCTGCAAACTTAGAAAGACTTTCTATGGGCTTAGGCAAGCCCCACGAAATTGGCACACCAAACTTCGAGATAGTATGGTTCAGATTGGCTTTGCAGCCTCCCGAGCTGATCCATCGTTGTTCATCAACAAAAAGGATGATGAAGAGTTATTTTTATTGGTTTATGTTGAAGACATTGTCATCACTGGGCAGTCATCGGATGCAATTCGAGAGTTGGTTCAATTGCTCAGCAACAAGTTATCGCTAAAGGACCTTGGCTGCCTTAGTTTTTTCTTGGGGATTAAAGTGCATAGAGCACATGGCTCAATTATGTTGAGTCAGAGGAAGTTTGTACTGGAGTTACTTGAAAAGTCTGGAATGAAAGGAGTTGATGCATGCACAACTCCAATGGTAGTGTCTTCTAAGCTTTCGGGGGACGAGGGTGAATTACTGAAGAACCCTAGTGAATATAGGAGCATCATTGGGTCATTGTTATACGTGTGTCACACTCGACCAAACTTGGCTTACAGTGTTAGGAAGGTGGCACAATATATGCATGCTCCATGAGAAATGCATATGATGGTAGTTAAGAGAATATTGAGGTATTTAGCTGGAACTGTGGACTACTGTTTCAGTCGATTGATGCAGGGTTGACTATTTCAGTGTTTGCTGATGCGGATTGGGGAGCTAGTATTGATGATAGAAGATCTATTTCTGGCTATGGAGTATTTATTGGTCAATGCCTTGTTGCGTGGAGCTCCAAGAAGCAGAAATCAGTTTCAAGATCAACAATGGAGGCCGAGTACAAATGTGTTGTTGAAACTGCTACTGCAGTAATTTGGGTAAATGCCTTGCTCGTTGATCTGGGGCTACAACAACTACAAGAACCAGTAGTTTGGTGCAATAATACTGGTGTGTTCCAATGAGTACCAATTTAGTTTATCACGCTCAGTCGAAACACATAGACTTGGACGTTCATTTTGTTCGGGAGAAGGTAGCTGCCAAGCAGATTCAGGTTAACCATGTTCTGGCTACATATCAAATTGCTGATAGTTTCACCAAGCCACTGACTAGAACTGCCTTTGAAGAATTTCGCAGTAGAATATGTGTTGCACCAGCTAGTAAAATCAAACAAGAAAGCTGGAACAAGTAGGGGGAATGTTAGGCTGTTATTGTAACACCCCAACCCGTACCCAACCCGGATACGAGTCTGAGATGTCACATTGACCTTTTAAAACAATATTTTTACAAAGTAACAAAATATTTGAACTTTTATTAAGAAAATACGATAATATACCGGTGAATTATGTTTCATTATAAAAATTTAAGGCAAAAACGTATTATGAACATTACTATACGGTATGAACATTTCCGTGAACAATACCATGAACAGTACCATGAACATTGCTACAGTGTACATATGCATTGCTACAGTGTACCGATACATAAAAATATCGAATATAAATTGTGTATTGATGCACTGCTACAGTACATCGATGCACTACTACAGTGCATCGATGTACTACTACAGTACTGCTACAATAACTTTCGTAAAACGTACATAAAACTCGTAAAAATTTAACCGTTCATTACTATACATTTAATATTTACATATATAAGTTTAAAACATTACAAAAGTTGATCAGAGCATACTGACTAAATGACTATATTTACATGCCAACACATATATCACATAAACAGACATACTGTATAAGGTTCTTCTGATCTGATCTTCAAATGATGATATGTTGTTTTGTTGCTCTTAAGATCGATCTTCTTGTTTTTCTGTACCTACGTGTAAATCACTTACACGCTAAGTCATAGACTTAGTGAGGCATAAACTTATAATGATAATGCATTTCTTATGAATATGAACATGCAACATAGTAATCATAATTCCATATCATTTCCTATGATTCAATATATATATATATATATATACAAGACTAATATTATAACATATAAGGCAATACACATTTTTCATATGATTTATAGGCCCATGTATATACTGAGAACATAAGGTATTCGAGTACATAGAGGTTGTGCACATCTGCTGTCACCATAGCTCGTATAAGTCCCACTGAGTGGCATATGAAATTTTGTCCCGAAGGACATGTGAATATGTCCCGAAAGACCTATGAGTTGTCCCGAAGGACCTATGAAACCCTCGACTCTTGGCATGCCAACTATACATAGAGCTCTCATATTACATAACATGGACATTAATATTATAATTCATATAAACATGTACTTATATCATTTCCATTGTAACCACATATATCTTTTCTTCTATCACATTTCACCTATGCATATAACCATCCATCTCATTTTCTGTAATACAATATTTAAATACATTCATATAGTTTATATAATATGTAGTGAATCATATGTATACATATATGATTTATACATATGTAATCAAAGACTATAATGTATTAATGTTCATAACAATTATACTATGGAATTAACCTAGGAAATAGACTTATCGCAAGTCTTATTTCCATTAGATTATCCCTATATTATGCACTCACCTTGACCTTGCTTGCGTTGATTCAATCCTAACTCTTCAATTGTTCCGTAACTCGTTTAGGCTCGATATCTACATACATAAATTTCAAGATGATTTTCAGAATTCTAAACCTTATAACTTGGTATTAATAACTTAGGCTAATTTAATGAACCAAAAATTCACTTTTCCTTTAGGAGTGTACCAATGCACTATTGGTGCATCGGTACCCAAAATAGCTTCGAAATTTCCATGTATCGATGCACCTTCAAATTATCTTAGTGCATCGGTACCCATTCATAGTGCATCGATGCACCTGTCCAAAATAGGCTATTTTCACCCGAAATTCATCAATATTTTACCCAAATTTTCATGTATAAAATCCTTATTATGCTACTAAACTCATCTATAACTAATTTCTATCATTTCTACACTTTATAATCTCCCATATTTCATCCAAATTTTTAAGGCTAAGAATCATACCAAATTTTCCATTTTATCCAAACTTAATTCTAACACTTATAACTTCTTATTCTCATAGATGACAAGTCAATTTCAATCCTCAAATTCATTTAAACCTTCATATTCAGATTTTCACTTAGACACTTCTTATCTTTAATCCTCCATAACTCAAACTCTTTGAGTTTCTAAGTCCCTTTTCCTTCCATCATGTTTTCTAAGTCTTCATTAACCAAAATCATACTTCAATTTTAAAATCAAACTCACCTTGGGCAATTCACGTTTGGAGAAGAAGAAGATAAAGAAAGAAGGAATAAGAAAATAGAGAAATCTGGAAACATTTGTTTCCTACACATGCCCCACGTGGATTATAAATATCCACAAATAATATTTAATCATTTTCCTTATTAATGACCCATTTGCCCTTTGACTCTTCCTTCATTTATTAATTCATCTTTCACCCACATCTTTCAATTAATTCATTCACTTTTCAATTTATTTAATCTGGTTATTGAATTTTAAAATCTTACACTTAATTACTAACCTGGTATTAAGGATGTTACAGTTATAAGTAGTGACACGTGTGTGTATGCTAGTGGCTAAGGTGTTAGAGTTTGTTACGTTGTTAAGTAGCTATGCCAGAGTGTTAGAATCTGTTAAGCTGCAGTTATGAGGAATGTAAACGAGCACCAGTGTATATATGCGTGTGTAGCTCAATGAAGAAGTTACCTTGCTTGTTCTACATTTCTGCTTACTATCATTTCTAATATCATCGTTATGTCTGATGCTATGTGAGACCAGGTAGTCACGTATACTCATGTGGTAGGAATTATTATCGATGCAATTGATAACGAGATTCCAATCTATGCAACTGATATTATGTGATATCGAGTGACTAATTTGTGTCATATGTGTTACCGTATGGAATTTTTTTTGAGGTGTATATGAGTTGATAGCCGAGGATAGTGAAACCAACATGTATATATAAATTTTAATATGTAAATATTAGTAAATGTTAAGCAAATGTGAGATTATACAAAATTTAGAGCTTTATCACTTTAAAACTAAATATGAGGAAATCAAAGTTTAAATTAGTTACAAACTAGACTCATTAAGGGTCTTATGATTTATATGTTCACTCTAACCATAATTTAAGGACCAAATTTGATATTAACTATTCTATTAACGTATAATGTCATGCGTGGATTTAACAACACAATGATCATTTTATGAGAAGGTGATAATGTCAGTGATTATAACGTAATTTTTGAAATATTAGTTATGAAAATAAAAATGTACTCAAATATCAATGATTACACGTATAAACTACCCTTAATTAACATCATCCAACAATTGGGTGAGGAGTTTAAAGTAATATTGTCCAGGGTTTTGAAGCTTGTATATATAACTAACATACCAACAATCACTTGATCTAATAGTCTTCGTCTTTATAATATTTGATATGAATTAATCGATTACTAAATTAGATACCATGTATTATAAAAAAATATCTAACTAACGTATACAATCACTGGACCTAAAGTAGATTTGGCCAGCCGGAAGCTATCAAATGCATAACAAAATGAATCAGGTACATTATATACAGAAGCTTATGATTCATCATCAAGGGGGTAAAATAAGATAAAAAAAATTATGATTCAAAATCTAATTGGCATAACCATAAGTAGAGGAGCATTCATAATTCACACTACCCTATGAGAGAAAGCAAAAAGAACTCCAAGAACAGTCGAAACGTAAGCTCCGGCCTCGATTTTCTGCAAGGCGGAACAACTTGTAATGCAATTTACAGTAATCCAAAATAACATAGTTTAAATAAGCTTCTGTATATAACATACCTCTCCAGAACATAGGCAAAAGGAAACATGAGGCAGGCAGCTAGGCAATACCGATAAGCGACGTATATATGCGGATTCAACCCTCGACTGAAGGCAGCTTCAGTAAAGAAATACACAATTGCATAACCAATCTGAGTTAGAAACATCATCAGATGAGGCTTATACTTCTCCATGAATGTGCTTGCCATATCCCCTTGCTTTCTGCAATGATAATCCAAATTTTTTGTATGTTCTTTTGTATTTCGGCTTGCTTGTTCATGGACCAGGAAATGTGTCCATAATGATGCCGATGAAGTAGTAATCGGTGTCGTGTAGAACAACAAGATAAGCTTCTATCTTTAAGATTCTGATGCTGAAATTCACTAGATGATTTGAGTAAGGAGTGTGACCAAAGAGTAAAACAGTATAATTTTTAGTACCATTTTATCTGCTCTGATTAGCTGGTCCACAAAGAGAAGGAATAACTTTGCAAGTTGTAGCATCCATTAAGTGCAATAATATGTTGAAATTATAAATTCGTAGATAGGTGTGGCAGAGAATTATTATTATTTTTTTTGGATAATTCATCAATTTTATTACCCAAAGAAGCATAAAATGCTACAAAAAATACCGATCTCAACACCTAATGTACAAACTACATACAAAAAACATCAGATCGGTTCTAATATAAACCCCATGAAGTACAGAGGTTAGAGTTAACTCTATCAGTCCTATTAATGGTTTCCCCCCTAAGCTTGATTCCTACAAATTCTTTGATGCAAATCAGGAGATCATCATTGGCTCGGTGGTATCCTCTAAATATTCGTTTGTTACGCTCCTCCCACAAAAGGTATAAAGAAGCACACCATGCAAGCTTAAGGATTGTAGATAAGAGAGACTTTCCTTTCCAAGATCTAGAAGCCCAAACTAACAATTCCTCCCATGTTGAGCATTGTTTATTGATGCTGCTGAGAAGTATAATATTTTTCCATAAGAATGAAGCAGTATCGCAGTCAAAGAACAGGTGGTTTCTAGATTCCATTTTATCATTACACAGCACGCAATTTCCTTCGGTGATAATTCTCATTCGCATCAGTATGTCTCGAGTTGGCAGTCTGTCGATGATTGCCATCCAAGCAATGAGACTGTGCTTAAAAATATATTGTGGGAACCAAATCAGTGAATGTCAGGAAACTTTGATTTCCTTCACCCTAATCTCCTGCCAAATGTCTTTAATAGAGGATGCACCATTCGAAATAGGTGTGGCAGAGAATTATTGTGGTTTTCAACCCCTGCATTTTTGCTGTGTTTTATAACTTTTCAATTACAAGACAACAGGAGATCTGCACCGGCCATTAGTGCAATTATGCATTGGATTCAACTTGTTTTTAGAATTGTGTAATGAAAATTCTTGCTTTTTCACTTTTCCGGATATTTTATACATTGCAGCAGCAACCACGGACCGTTAACATGAGTAGGCTCACTAGCAAATTCTCACGAGCTGTTTGTATCATATAAAATTATTTATATTATCTCAAATGTATAATAATATTTAAATAAATTAAAAATGATAAAAAATATAAATCTCCAATATATTATTATTATTATAAGTAGGGATGGGCATGACATTCGGACCTGACGGGTTCTGACCCGATCGGGTCTGACTTTTTTTAAAAAAAGGGATTTGGTTGGGTTCATATTTAAAGTGAAAAATATTCTGTCCGACCCGAAAAAATATAATTTAACATTATATATTTAAGGATAATTACAATAATACCCCTCTATGTATTATTTTTTTCAATTAAATACCTATTTTTATCGAAAAAATTATATTTTTTTAATAAATATATTATCTCGAGTTGGTCAGATTGGGTTCGAATTTTATCTTAAAAATTCGGATCGAGTGAAGGAAGTAAAATTTTTTGTTCGAATCAGATTGATCGAAACCCGATTCGTGCCCATCCCTGATATAAGTGAATGTCTATTATTTAGTAGCTAACATTTTTTAATATTGTGTTTATCATCATTTCTTAATTTCTTTCTTTATTTTCATAATAAAATTCCACTAACGTACTAACGGGTTGATTCGAGTGGTAAGCATCTTGATATCACTTAAGTAAAATCTCGGGTTTGAGTCATTGTGTATAAAAAAAATCCTTGTTGGGAGATTCACTCATCAAAACTAGGTGTACGATGCGGGTTGATCCGAATTAGTCAGAACAAAGCCTTGAAACCCGGAAGGGCAACCAAAACAAAATTCCACTAACATGGTTTAATCATTTCTTTAATCCTATTTCTTTCATCTTTAGAGGATTAAAGAAACTATAATGAAACATATTATTTAGGTACTCGTAAACAATATGTTAAGTAGCCCAAAGAAGAAGAAGAATCTTAGTAAAGCAAACATTCCGCCATTTTAAATCTGAAAAGAAGGCATAGATGGCGATAAAGGTGGATTTAGAGAAAGCCTATTATTGATTTGAGTGAGACTTCTTAGAAGAGATCCTTCAGGAAATCAAACTTCCCCCTACTTTTATTCGTTGGATTATGTTATGTTATGTTATGTATTACTACTGTCTCCACACATGTTCTTTAGAATAGTGATTTATCATAAGGTTTTAAATCGACTCGTGGAATTCGTCAGAGTGATTTATCTGATTTTAATATCGAACTTTATCGCTTTATAATTTTTAACACAAATCACGTATCGAAAATCTGATTCCCAAAAAATCCTGTTTTAGGCCAATTGTTCATTTACATGCTAAAATCTATAACTTTTCAAAATTACATTTTGGTCTTTGAACTTTTACAAAGTTTATACTTTAACCCTCAAACTTAACCCTCAAACTTTCAAAACTATATTTAGTCACTAGTTAAAATTTATGGTATTACAATTCCTCCCCCTTAAGAAAAATTTCCTCGAATTTTCTATACATATCTACATACGAAGTAAAGAGATAAGGAAATTGTCTTTCGTGTCTTTTCATTGTTCCCAAGTCACCTCCTTAACTTTATGATTCACTAAAGAACTTTCACCAGTGGAATCGTTATTCTTAGTTCTTTGTCTCCATATAGTAAAATCTTTACTAGTTCTCTTCATGTAACAAATCTGACGAATCTTGATTTTCTCTGGTAATCACATGTAAAGTATTCAATATATACTTTCAAAGCAGCAATACATAAAACACATTATAAATCTTATTCATTTCCAAAGATAATGCTAACTGGTATATTACCGGACTAACTCTCTTTACAATCTCATATAATTGATAAATCTAGGACTTTACTAAAATGTTATAAAAAATTAGCGAGTTGCTCGAGAATTTATCGAGTTGAGTTGGATTTTGTTTGACTCAGCTCGTTAAGGTCTCGAGTTCGAGTTCGAGTTCGAGTTCAGTTCGAGTCCGAGTCCGAGTCGAGCATTTATCAAATTTTGATTGAATAGAGTTTGAATACTCACGAGCTGCTCAACTCATAACCCCCTAAACTAATCCATGTGCATGAATAACGATCACAAGCTTCCCACCATTACCTACCTTAGAAAAACGGTATGGCTGAGGTCCAAATGGCGGTGTTTTTTGTCCCTTGGCCTATTCCTAGGGTGGAACATCCCATTGATTCTTGTAGAGGTTCACAATATTGAATATTATTATGCATTACATATTCTATTTAATACATATTATTAAGCATCAAAATATTTAACACAATGCAAATGTGTATGCATTAACTGATAGAATATTTGTAGTCATAAATATCCATATAACCAATGTTTTGAAAACCAGACCGGTCGGTTCAACGGGGAACCATTGCCTACTCCGGTTCAATATACACCGATTGAACCGCTACTAGTGAACCGGTCAGAACCGTTGAACCTTTCGAATCGGACCGGCTGAAAACCGGAAAAAAATAAAAAAAACCGAAAAAACCACCAATTTTGTTTTTTGGTTTTTTTAAATTAAACCAAACGACGTCGTTTGTTAAACGAGCCAAGTCGAACTCGAGTATTGTTGAGCTCGACTCGAACTTGAAAACTTTAAAAGTAAGCTCAACTCAAACTCACGAGCTAAAAATTATCAAGTTCAACTCAAACTTGAAATATAATATTGAAACTTGAACTCAAAAAAAAAAATAGAAGCTCGATTGAAGCCTAAAATTCGAGTTTGATTGAAGTGAAAGAATAATTCACTCAATGCTCACCAAAAGACTCCATGATTTTGAATGTCAAATTAGCTCTATTATTTATAGAAGTTAATTAGGATGCTCTTCTATGTTTCTTAGCCATGTGAGATTGTTTTGTTCTCATATTTTTACTTTTTAGACTTTTGGGATGTTATTCTATGTTTTTTAGCCATGTGGAATTGTTTTAAAAAAAATAAACCAAACAATATCATTTTATTGTGATTTTTTTAGCCTCAAATTTATTTTTAATTATATTTATATATTTATATTTATTATTTAATATGTTTTACCTTAAATATTATGTTGTAGTTAATTTGAATCATTTTGTTTCACTTGATTTTATGATTTTAACTTATATAGTTATGACTTGCTTTGAATATGACTTGTGATAAAAAATTATTTTTTATTAAATATTTTTGGTATATTTATTTAATTTTTTAAATAATTATGACATCGTCCGGTTCTTCCGACCGATCGGACCGATTCGATCGATTGAACCAATGAATCGGTAGCATGGCCGATTCGCTAACCGGTCCGGTTCTAAAACCATGAACGAAAGCTTTGCTGCAGTCAAAGAATAGAAGCTTTAAGTGCACATTTTTCTCTAAGCTTTGAACCTAACAAATATTTTAGGAATAATCTTAAAATAAAGCTCGGAATTAAAATCTATTGACTGAACTTTTGGAAGCGTCTGCTTGTTCGCAATATTGACAGAAAAAGAAACGTTCAACTCTATAAACGTTGTAACTTGTCTGCATCCTCTAAGAAACTAAAGGTATGTTTGTTTGCTGTAATTAGAATTACGGAATTGGTTTTTCTCGAATTCTCGTGTTTGTTTTATGTAATTCGTTTTCCGGAAAATATTTTTCAGTGTTTGTTTCACGTAATTGGTTTTCCTGAACGTAATTCATTTTTCTAGTAACAAAATTTCCTTTTTGTTTTATGGAAAATGACTTACAGATTCATTTTCCGTAAGTCATTTTCCGAACTTTTCACTTCAAAGAATAAATACTCAAAATAATTTTATTTTATGAATTTAATATTAATAAAATATTTTAATATCATTTTCATCAAAATATTATTTATA